TTCATTTTCTAAGGTTCTTATGGTTTGAGGTTTTACATTTAGGTCTCTGATCCATGTGGCGTTAACCTTTGTGCATGGGGATAGATAGGGGTCCTGTTTCAATCTTCTGCATATGGTCAGCCAATTTTCCCAGCACCATTTACTGAATAGGTTTTCCTCTCCCCATTGGTAGGTGGTGGGGGCTTTGTCGAAGATGAGTTGGTTGAGAAATTGAGGTTTTGCTTCTGGAATCTCAATTCTGTTCCATTGATCTATATGCCTACAACTGTTTATTTTTTAATAGGACATTAATTCTCATGGGTAAAATAAATTTATAAAAAGGCATCTGTGAAAAGTGCACCTCTAACTTTCAGGCATCATCTCAATTCCTGTTCCAGATAACTACTATCATTAGTTGTTTTCTGAAAGTTTCAGTGCTTCTTTTGGCACAAAAAAGCAAACAGATGCTGTATTCTAATTTTTCTCCTTTTTTTGTATACAAAAGGGATATAGTATACACAGTGTTCTGTACCTTGCCTTTTTTGTTAATATATCTTGGCGTGTACTCTTTCTTTTGTAGAGCTGCATTGTGTGGATATACCAGTTGGTTCCCTAGTGATGGACATTGGTGTTTGTTTCGAGTCTTGCCATTGCAAACAGTACTGCAAAGAAGTACCTTGCACAAAAATGAGAACTCTTAAAAGAGAAATCAGATCGGGTTCCTGCCTTGCCTGAAAGCTTTCACTGCTCTGGAGATAAAAACCCATGTTTCTACTCTGGCGGACTGGGCTTCGCTATCTCTGGTTCCTCTTCATTTCTACACAGTCCCATCAGCATCACGCCCCTCCAGGCCACCCCACCAGCCCTGGGCACCCAGCTGCCATGCCTCCTCACCGTGCCCTAGTGCCCACGGACCCCTCCGATCGAGCTCACTTCCTTCCTCACATTGCAGGCTCTCTACTCTTGACTTTCTTTGGGTCTTCGCCAAAACCCCCGCGAACAGTTGGTTCCCACAGGCCACGTTTCCCCTTTCCAACCTCTTCCTTTGCTACCTTCCTGGCACTCCCTCCGACCTGCAATTTTAAACTTTGCTGCTTTTTGACTCTGTTTTCCCCACTAGAACATAAGTATCATGAGGACAAGAAACGCGCCCCTCCTGTTCACGGTTGTGTCCCCAACACCTCTCAGTGTGTAACACGTGGCAGGTGCTCAGTTAGGATGTTTTACAGCTTCAGTTGCATTCCCTGATGAGATGGCCCTATTGTTCCAACCCTTATTTAACAGAAAACTTTCTGCAAAAAATGGAGGAATCTGTCAGAGCAATTTTTTGAACGCTAATGTTGTCTTTTTTTTTCCTATACTAGGAAGTGACATTTACTATTACGCTAAATATTCTTTGCTACAAGTGTGTTCAAATCATTGATGTTTTTCTTACTCCCATGAATGCAGCATTCTTAGCCCTCAACCCTGTAAAACCAAGGGTTCCAAGAAGCTCATTAATAGAAAGACTCAACTGAGTTTAACTCCCACATGAATCCCCAGATATCGCTTTTGCCAAAGAGTCATTTCCAAGGCAGGTCTTAAATGCTAACTATTCAAAGACATAAAACACACACTCAGAGCCTTGCAGTAACACATGATATAACTCACAAGGAAACCTCCTCCGACCATCCCTGCAATGTGCAACTCAAGGCGTGACACCCAAGTTGAAATAGGACTCCTGTGATCTGCAGATCTTGGGTCCAATTTGTCGGTGATGGCAGTTGGTTAGTGTTTTCAGAGTCAGGATTCTAGAGTGTTCTAATAAAATATAAATAAGGTATACTAAGGGATATACTTTTCTCCTTTAAGCCATTTATAATACTTGGTTCTTTTTTGATTCTGAGGCTTTCAAATCATTAAAGCAGTTATTGATTCATCTCTGAGTCACCTTTGGGGCTAGGATTTAAATTAACTAACATTTGAAACATTTGTCATGCAAGGCTGAATCAGTAGCGAGAAGGAAGAAGTCAGAGGAAGGGTGGTGTTTGGATGTGGGCCAGTTTAAAATGAGCCATCACAGGAAACTGTGGATATGCTGCTGGGAGCCTGTCCATGGCTCTGGAAGTCCTATCCAGCCACCAGGAGTAGGAATTCTGAAAAGGGGCTTTAACTTTTTGGTATTTCCTCCAATCCTGTGAGCTAACTGATAATAATTGCACCTTACGTCTGCAAAGTGATTTACAATTTACACAGACACATGATCTCATTTAATCCACTCTCCCACTCTCACTCTCCCAGGGACTCTATGAGGTAAGAGAACCACCACTTTGAGATAATACCGGGACAGCCTGGAAAATTCCACAATGGGTGATGGATTACTGAGGGTTGACTGGGCCACTCGACCTCCCCCTCGCTATGGACTTTTGTGATTAATTCACCCGCTTGCTTAGGAAGTTGCTTTCCGTCTGAGAAGATTAAAAACACCACTCTCTGGATAAGAATGTGGGTTCATAAATGAGAACCAAATAGAAACGATTTACGCAAAAGCACAAGCTCAGCAAAAGAGAAAACTCAAAAATTGCTAATATGGTATAAATCAAATAAAGGCCATTAGCAAACCTCCGGTAAGAAAAAAAAAAAAAAAAAAAAAGATTTTGCTGGGCTCTTAACAATACCATTTCTACCTATGATGTTCGGGTATCTCCAGGGTAATTTGGCTTGTGTTCTTCAGCACTGTCATGAAGACTTTCTAGTTTGAGAGACTTTATGTAAGACTATGCAGAGTATCAGGAAATATGCCTGGCTATTGTGCCTTCAGAATGATATAATTTTTCGAGTTGGAGCGTCTTAGACCACGTATGCATTCCTCACAACAACAAGCACGGGGGCCGAACGTAGTTGCTTAATGTGTGAACAGGTAAGTGGGTAGATCGATGGAAAAAAGGAAGGAAAGAAGATAAAGACAAATACACTCATTTTACTGATGAGGAACATAAAGTAAGAAGGCTTACTAACCTACCAGTTTTACTAAAAAACAATTGAGGACAGAAACGGGACCACCTGTTCAGTGTTTCCCGGACGAGGGTTTCCTCTCTTCTATTTCTTTCTTTTATCAATATTCAAAAATCTTAACAAATACTGAGTCACAATATCATTTTCTTAGTTACGGGGAACCAATTCTGAAGGCAGGTAGGCTAATGTATTTGTGCCCATTTGATAACCAGGGAAATTAGGCACAGCGTACATTTTCCACGGCGATTTTATGAGTTTGTCAAGAGTGAGAAACCATGTAGATCACCCAGCTGCATGTCAACTTCCTGCCAACTTTACTCTTGGGTAGTCGCACACAGTGTGCTGCCCAGAGATGCTGGGTGCCATCTGGGCTCACGAAATGTTAAAAACAGAAAGTGCCTATGGGCCCCCGGCCCAACCTCACACCCTAAGAAAGAACCCCTTGCCCCAAATGTCCTGTAGTTATTTTTCCTCTGCTCAGACACCTTCAGTGACAAAGAGCACATCACTTTCTAGAGTGGCCCGTCTCCCTTTTGGAGAGCTCCACTTGCTTTCCATCTGTTAGTAGTTTTGCAATATTTCACTTCCTGTTGGTGTTGGTCTAAGATACTTTCACTTCCTGTTGGTGTTGGTCTAAGATATTTTCACTTTGGGCACAGGTCCTTGGTTTCTGTCACCACAGACTTAGAAAGCCACATCCTTGACGAAAGTCTTGGTGACTCCTTTGAATGATGCTGAAGACAGAACCATGAGCCAAAAGAGGCCCCAAAGGTTTTATGGTAATGCTGGTGATGGACATGAAGACTCAGACACTTGCTATGAGAAGATGCCTCATGATGGTTCACGTGAAGTGATAATTCCCGGATGCGAGCTGGGTGGTTCTGTTCAGTCTTTGTTTTTGGGACAACTCAGTGTCCTACAAACCCTTTGGCAGGAAGCCCGCAAGACTATTGCTTGAAAAAGTATAACCACATTCTTTAACAATCCTCCCTTTCCTGGGACTTTGAAACCTCTTTAGCAGGTGTCCCTCTCACTCCATGCCTGTCCCCTTGCCAGCAAATCTTCACAGAGGCCAGACTTTGGGTTGATCAAAGCACTTGCTTCTTGTCCCAGTGTCTCCTTTCAGCAAACCCAGAAAGCAGGCTTGGCCTGGAAAGTTCCATGAAGGTAAGTGTTCACAGGGCTTCAAGGGATAATAAAAAAGAAGATGGCATTGTATCCAGTACATGTTTCCCCCACTAATGAAAATCTTCTTGAATTAGCACAAAATTCTAGTTTGGAATAGGTTTTTCTAGTGGTATAAGAACACATCTGAATCTCTAATCGCTCTAAGTTGCATCTGTTTCTGCCTCATTTGAAAGCTCCAGTAATTAACTGTCTTTCTTTTTTTCTGGTTGAAACGTTCTCTTTTCTAGAGTTTCAGAAAGGCATTCAATAAGGCTGAACAGCATAATTTACCAAGGCAGAAAAAGCATTTCATTTAAACCTCTGAGATATGGTATGGTGATGTGGTGTCAGAGAGCCACATCAGATTTCAGGGAAACCAGAAATCCCCAAGCTACTAACAAACTTCAGACATGCCCAAGGGCCATCGCTGGGGAAAAGAAATAACTCCTACCCAGTACCCTTGAAGGAGAGGTGACCCATCTCAACTCTGCCCAACGGGTTGACAAGGTGCTCAGATGTCTGGCTCCTTGAACTGCCTGGGAGCGGAAGCTATAGGCTCAAATAAAAAAAAAAAAAAACACATGCAAGGATTGTTGAATAATGTGTGTTTCCTAAACATAGACAGCATCCAACCCTACCACTTCTCAGGGAAGAGGTCAGTCCTTGTGCCATGTGGCATTGCAATCTGGTTGCCTACGGCTCTCCAGGGTGGCACAGCCCACTCTTGTTATTTGGGAATAACATTTTTTTAGAAACTTCTGAGGGTTCTCTGACCAGAAAACCAGGGAAATTTTGACCCAACTGTTTCCCAATATACGCTTCAAGCTGCGCACAAAGTAGTTGGAAGCCTTAGTACTTGCCCGGTTGAAGGGTTCATGATGCAGCCACCTTTATCAGCCGCCGTCTTACAGCTGCAGCCTCTCTCCATTGTGTCGTGATTCATCCCAAAATTGTGGCCCAGCTCGTGTGCCAGGGTCACAGCGGCACCAAGAGGGCTGTCTGAATGGTCCTCAAAGAAAACACAAGAATACAGAGGTATAGTTCACATCTCCTTGCACTTAAATTTCTGTTGTCCCTCTCTGGAGACCTCTCGTTAACATTTGGCTTAGTTAAATTCCCTATAAGGAACTAATATAAAGCTCATTATTTGGTTTAAACTCTCTCTCTCTCTCTCTCTCTCTCTCTCTCTCTCTCTCTCTCTCTCACACACACACACACACACACACAAATAGCCAGGTGCAGTGGTTCATGCCTGCAATCCCAGCACTTTGGGAGGCCAAGGTAGGAGGATTGCTTGAGCTCAGGAGTTCAAGACTAGCCTAGGCCACACAGCGAGACCTCCTCTCGACAAGAAAATAAAAAAATTAGTCAGGTGTGGTTTCATATGCCTGTAGTCCCAGCTCCTTGGGAGGCTAAGGCAGAAAGATTGCCTGAATCTAGGAGGTTGAGGCTGCAGCCAGCTGCGATCATGCAACTGCACTCCAGACTGGGTGACAGAATGAGACCCTGACTCACAAAAAAACACCCCAAAACCAAAGCCCAAACCAAAAAACCCCAAAACAAAAACTTAAAGAAACGAATTTGACATATTTTATTAGGCCAGTTTGGGCTCTCTTTTGCTGAGCAATGTATGTATACCTCACATATGCATGTAGGATTCTTCATGCTTGCATGACATAATCAAGGCACAGATCACCCTCTTGTTTCTTAAAATTGCTCACAAAACACATTCCAGTGAATGAAGCAGAAGGTTGTTCTGTGTCATGGGAGGAGAAAGCTTTATGGATAATGAAAGTACTGTTTTATCCTTGATTGGGAAGGTGCTGATATAAATTTGACAGGAGCAAGCATGTTTTGCGACATTCTAAATAAGGCCCGAATGGTTGTAACTGAGCATGGTTGTTACTGCTCTGTCTGTTTTGTAGGGAAGGATACCTGGAAAGTTCATCATCAATTCACAATAAGCCTGACCACGTTGAATAATCTGTTTGAAGACCCATTAAATTAAGATACTAATCCCGTTATGTCTTACCGTTGCTAGCTCTTTGAGGTGTCAGTAAGACTGCAAATACATGGAGATGTTCTGATTCTCTGACTTTTGCTACTGGGGGTTCACCTAACCTTTTGCTGGGTTGTGGAAGGCGGCTTCTCCATCCAGCAAGCACTGTTGGCCACCCCTAATTTAGTGGAGTGTCTGATGGCTTAGCTCAAATAGATACTAGAAGTTGCCGGGCTCGGTGGCTCAGCCTGTAATCCCACACCTTGGGAGGCTGAGGTGAGTGGATTGCCTGAGCCTGCGGGTTCGAGACCCGCCTGGGCAACTTGGTGAGACCTCATCTCTACAATAAATAAAAAATCAGCAGGGCGTGGTAGCGCGTGCCTGTAGTTCCAGCTACTTGGAAGACTGAGGCTGAAGGATTGCCGAAGCCCAGCAGGTTGAGGATGCGGTGGCCGGGAGTGGCCACTGCACTCCAGTCTGGGTGCCAGAGTGAGACTCCAACTCAAAAAAAAAAAAAAAAAAAAGATACTAGAAGTTAATTACAAAATGTGGCCATTTAACTTTAACAAGTTAAAATTTGTTAGTGAATGTGATCTACAGAAATTGTGTCCAGGAATGGTTTCGCGAAAAAACCTGCACGTCATTGAGTAAGGAAGGAACCATGTTTGAATCTTGCTTTGTGCTTCCCTGGAAAGAGATAAAAAGTCTTCCAAGAGGCTTCCAGGAAATAGTGCTGCTATGGTTTGAACGTTTGTCCTCTTCAATACTCATGTTGAAACTTAATCCCTGTATGGCAGTATTGAGAGGTGAGGCCTTTACGACACTCAGGACTATATTAATCCATTCTTGGATTAATGGGTTAATGCATTAAGGAATAACATGGGAGCGGTTCTGGGGGATTTATAAGAAGAGGAAGGGAGATCTGAACCAGCGCACTCAGCCTTTCACCATGTGATGTCCATGCCACCTAGAACTCTGCAGAGAACCCCCACCAACAAGAAGGCTCTCACCAGATATGGCCTTCATGTTTGGATTTTTCAGCCTCCATAACTGTAAGAAATATGGCCAGGTTCGGTGGCTCAGTCATCCTGTCATCCCAGCACTTTTGAAGGCCGAGGCAAATGGATTGCCTAAGCCTGTGGGTTTGAGACCAGCCCGGGCAACTTGGCAAGACCTCATCTCTACAATAAATCAAAAATGAGCCAGGCATGGTAGTGTGTGCCTGTAGTTCCGTCTACTTGGAAGGCTGAGGGGGAAGGATCACCTGAGCCCAGCAGGTTGACGCTGGGGTGGCTGTGAGTGTGCCACTGCACTCCACCCTGGCGACAGAATGAGACTCCAACTCAAAAAAAAAAAACCCCAAAAACCTATAAGAAATAAATTCCTTTTCTTTATAGATTGCCCAGCTTTAGGCATTCTGTTATAAGCAACAGAAAACAGACTAAAACAAGTATGGTATTATATTTTAGAAAAAAAACCACATCCTTCCTGATACAATCAGTCTTTGTGAGACCTCTGGATAAAGGTGTGTTCATGTAAGGTCTTATAGGTTTGTTGATGGTGTTTACAACTAGCTCTCAGTCTAAGAAAATGATGGGATATCAAGGACCAAGTTATTCTTAGACTAGATGAAATTCCTAATTAAATTGTTTTGTTTAGATCTTACAGTTTCCTGTTGTAGAAAGCTTTACAAATATGTTTCAGGAAATCAGTTCACAAGAATAACACATTGGTGAAGTGAATGTAGTCAATCTAAGAATGTAGAGGGTTGAATTTAGCATGCTTTGGCACAAAATTCAAGGAATTCATCCTTAAAAATATTCTACTTCTGATACTTTTGTACCTCTGGATATCTTGGTTTTGTCTTCAGCTGCTAAATTGCTTTACATTCTTTCATGCATAAGTGAACATAAACAGAATGTCTATTATGAGACTCTGATAAACAGTTTACATTTGAATAAGAAAAAAATACCCATCTGCTTATTTATGGTATTATTGCCAAACCAAGACTGTTTTAGGCCCGTTGGATACAAAGGCATGGCTTTAAGGGACTAAAATTAATGGTTTGTTCTATTTTGAAAAATGGAGAAATGGTATTAGAAATCATAGTTTCAGTTTTGAGAGGATTCCTGCTTCTTTGCCATGTTACTTTCTCTTAGATTTGTCCTTCAGTGAGGCATAGTCACATGTAACACCCATGAACCTGACTTTAGAGACAGAGCAAGAAAAAGTTAGTCTAGAGGCCTTAAGTCTGGCCAAGGTGCTGGTCTTGCTGATCTCATAAATTTTCTAGAAATTAAAGGTTGTGTGCCATTTTCATCCTACTTGATATTTATCTTATATCTGGAATGCACAAGGAGTGTGTCTATGGACGATGCCAATTGCTAACAAATTTCCTGATAATTAACTTCGGTCTTGACTTGATTCCTATTGCATTGTACATAATTTGCTTAGATTTCTCACATTTATTTTTGTATATCTTTTTTAAAAAAATAGGCTTCCCTGTACGCTTTTAAAGAAGGAATCTTGATAAAATGCTTGTATGGAAACAGAGTCAGAGACCCGAGCTGAAGAAAGCTGCTTATTTCGGTCCGATGGGTTGTAGGAACGTCTCAGCACCTCACAGCAGCGGAACCTGCCACGCTTATGAAGAATTCACTTTCAGCTCTAAAAAAATATTTACGCCGCCGGGCTCGGTGGCTCAGCCTGTAATCCCGCGCCTTTGGGAGGCTGAG